TTCTTGTAATATGAATTTTTTTTCTGTGTTGGTGTTGTGTACTCAGGTGAATAATATGTTTGCGATGTTACTCTGAGTGCATATCCACACCAGGCGAGCTTGAAACTTATGCCCGGCCACGGTGGGATTCGAACCTACGACCTTTGGAATACTAGCCCAATGCTCTTCCAACTGAGCTACGCGGTCAGGACTGTTCGAGTAAGTGATATTTCGGAACAGTATCTAGTTCCTTCAATACCAATGTGTTCTTGTAATATGAATTTTTTTCTGTGCTGGTGTTGTGTACTCAGGTGAATAATAGGTTTGTGATGTTACTCTGAGTGCATATCCACACCGGGCGAGCTTGAAAAATATGCCCGGCCACGGTGGGATTCGAACCTACGACCTTTGGAATACTAGCCCAATGCTCTTCCAACTGAGCTACGCGGTCAGGACGGTTCGAGTAAGTGATATTTTGGAACAGTATCTAGTTCCTTCAATACCAATGTGTTCTTGTAATATGAATTTTTTCTGTGCTGGTGTTGTGTACTCAGGTGAATAATATGTTTGTGATGTTACTCTGAGTGCATATCCACACCAGGCGAGCTTGAAAAATATGCCCGGCCACGGTGGGATTCGAACCTACGACCTTTGGAATACTAGCCCAATGCTCTTCCAACTGAGCTACGCGGTCAGGGCGGTTCGTGTAAGTGATATTTCGGAACAGTATCTAGTTCCTTCAATACCAATGTGTTCTTGTAATATGATTTTTTTCCTGTTCTGGTGTTGTGTACTCAGGTGAATAATATGTTTTGGGATGTTACTCTGAGTGCATATCCACACCGGGCGAGCTTGAAAAATATGCCCGGCCACAGTGGGATTCGAACCTACGACCTTTGGAATACTAGCCCAATGCTCTTCCAACTGAGCTACGCGGTCAGGACGGTTCGAGTAAGTGATATTTCGGAACAGTATCTAGTTCCTTCAATACGAATGTGTTCTTGTCATATGAATTTTTTTTCTGTGCTGGTGTTGTGTACTCAGGTGAATAATATGTTTTGGGATGTTACTCTGAGTGCATATCCACACCGGGCGAGCTTGAAAAATATGCCCGGCCACGGTAGGATTCGAACCTACGACCTTTGGAATACTGGCCCAATGCTCTTCCAACTGAGCTACGCGGTCAGGACGGTTCGAGTAAGTGATATTTCGGAACAGTATCTAGTTCCTTCAATACCAATGTGTTCTTGTAATATGAATTTTTTTTCTGTGCTGGTGTTGTGTACTCAGGTGAATAATATGTTTTGTGATGTTACTCTGAGTGCATATCCCCACCGGGCGAGCTTGAAAAATATGCCCGGCCGCGGTGGGATTCGAACCTACGACCTTTGGAATACTAGACCGTTCGAACCTACGACCTTTGGAATACTAGACCGCTAGGAATACTAGACCGCGTAGCTCAGTTGGAAGAGCATTGGGCCAGTATTCCAAAGGTCGTAGGTTCGAATCCCACCGTGGCCGGGCATATTTTTCAAGCT